AGCAAACCAGAACGTCGGCGGCTTGATGATGAGTTGTTTCTCACCTTCCAACTTGATTGTGGTTGCCCTGCGTACTTGTCGTAGATGATCTGTCGTCCGTCTTGACCTTGATCTCTTCGTGCATCGTCGCGACTGCCCTATACACGATCCTGCCCTTCTGGTCTTTTCCTGGCGTGTGTCTGGGAATGTCTAGCTACCAGCCCGCGGTCTGCGTCTCCGCGTCGACAGTCTTGACCAGAATTCTGTCACCGATGGGCTGAATCTTCATGAATTCCTCGCTATCTGGACCGACGTGGTTACAGTGGATAGCGACCGGCGCGACGCGTTGGCGCCTTGTGATTGTGATCGCTGCCGAATATACGGTCGCCCCGGAGGGGCGTCAAGACCAACCGTGATCGCAGGGCAGGTCCGGTCGCGTGTCGTGTAAATCTGACACGCACTGATCGTGGTCCTGGAGCAAGCGTGTCATTGTGACCCCCCGTGGGTGTCGACGCCGATACGGCGTTCGCAAGAGTTAAAGATTGTCCTGATAATGAATTATGATAAATATCCGGATTTTTCTAAAGTGGCACGCATTTTGCTTCAATATGGGCAAGGAAGAAGAAGATGGCAAGAGAGACATCCAGTGACGACAGCGTTCTCTCGCGGTACCTGCGAGAGATCAACCGCATACCGCTGCTCACCAGAGAACAGGAAGAGAACTTGGCCCGCAGGTCGGCGGCGGGCGACACCGATGCCAAGGAGGCGCTGGCGCGCGCCAACCTGCGGTTCGTGGTGAACGTCGCCAAGCGGTATCAGAATCAGGGTCTGCCGCTGCTGGATCTCATCAGCGAAGGGAACATCGGACTCCTGCACGCCATCGAGCGCTTCGACGTGGACAAGGGCTATCATTTCATCTCGTACGCCGTGTGGTGGATCAAGCAGGCGATCCTGAAGGCGGTGTGCGAGCAGTCCCGCCTGATCCGCCTGCCGTTGAACCGCGCGAACGAGCTGGTGCAGATCGACCGCACGCGCAAGGAATTGCAGAGCGAGACCGGCACGGAGGGGACGGCCGAGCAGATCGCCGGCCGTCTGCAGTTCAAGCCGGAGCTGGTCGAGGAGCTGACCTCGATCTCCCGCGAGCTGATATCGCTCGACGCGCCGATGTACGCCGATTCAGAATCGGCCAACCGGTCGGAGTTTCGTGGAGGACCCGAAGGGCGACGCGCCGGATGAGAGCACGCTGATGCGGTCGCTCCGCGATGACATCGCGACCGTGCTGCGCTCGCTCACCGACCGCGAAGCCGACATCATCATGCACCGCTTCGGACTGGAAGGGCGCCGGCCGCTCTCTCTGAAGGAGATCGGACTGCGCTACCACCTGACCAAGGAGCGCATCCGCCAGATCGAGAAGAAGGCGCTCCGCCAACTGCGCCATCCTTCACGCGCCCAGTACCTCGAAGCCTACGTAGCTTGAGCCCCGAGGTTGCGGCGCCAAGGGCGCCGCAACCTTGGCCCAAAGCTGGGAGCTGCACTTGGCGTCCGCTCTATGTCAGTAGAGGGCGTTGACAGCTTTGCCGTTGGGCTTTCTTCTACGGGCAGTAACTCGGACGCAGGACGGGAGAGAACACACGTGGCACAGGGCAACAGCAAGTACGTCTACTTCTTCGGGGACGGGGCCGCCGAGGGGCGCGCCGACATGAAAGAGCTGCTCGGCGGCAAGGGAGCCAATCTGGCCGAGATGACCAGCCTGGGGATCCCGGTACCGCCGGGGTTCACCCTCTCCACCGAGGTGTGCGCGGCGTTCTACGAGAACCGGCGCACCTACCCCGAGGGTCTCAAGGAAGAGGTGGCCGGGCACCTCCAGCGCCTGGAAACCCTGATGGGCCGCACGCTCGGCGGGTCCCGCGATCCGCTGCTGGTGAGCGTCCGCTCCGGGGCGGCGCAGTCCATGCCGGGCATGATGGACACGGTGCTCAACCTCGGCCTCAACGACGCCGCGGTCGAAGGCTTGGCCGAGCAATCCGGCAATCCCCGCTTCGCCCGGGACGCGTATCGGCGCTTCATCCAGATGTACGGCGACGTGGTGATGGAGGTCCCGCACGGGGCGTTCGAGCACGCGTTGCAGGACGCGAAGAACCGCAAGGGGGTGACCGAGGACACCGACCTGGATGAGTCCGACCTCGACCAGGTGATCGCCGCCTACAAGGAGATCTACTCCAACCACACCGGTGAGGCGTTCCCGCAGGTCCCGCTGGATCAGCTCTGGGGCGCCATCGACGCGGTGTTCGGCTCATGGAACAACGATCGCGCCATCCGCTATCGCCAGTTGAACGACATCAAGGGCCTGCTCGGCACCGCCGTCAACGTGCAGTCGATGGTGTTCGGCAACTCCGGTGAAGACTCCGGCACCGGCGTGTGCTTCACCCGCGATCCGTCGACGGGAGAGAACGTGTTCTACGGCGAGTACCTCCAGAACGCGCAGGGCGAGGACGTGGTGGCCGGCATCCGCACGCCGGAGCCGCTGACGGCGCTGCGCAGGCGCCATCCGGAGGTATACCGGCAGCTTGAAGAGGTGCGCACCGGCCTGGAGCGCCACTACCGGGACATGCAGGACCTGGAGTTCACGGTCCAGCACGGCGACCTCTACCTGCTGCAGACCCGATCCGGGAAGCGCACCGGCGCGGCGGCGGTGACGATCGCCGTGGACATGGTGAGCGAGGGGTTGATCACCCGCCAGGAGGCGATCGAGCGGGTCGAGCCGCAGCAGATCGACCAGCTCCTGCACCCCGGCATCGATCCCGATCGGCGCGGCGAGCTTGGCGAGCCGATCGCCACCGGCCTCAACGCATCCCCCGGCGCCGCGACCGGGCGCGCCGTATTCACTGCCGACGATGCCGAGGCGTGGACCGCCCGCGGGGAGCGCACGCTGCTGGTGCGGCGCGAGACATCGCCGGAGGACATCGGCGGCATGGTCGCGGCGCAGGGCATCCTGACGGCGACGGGAGGCATGACCTCGCACGCTGCGGTGGTGGCGCGCGGCATGGGGACTCCGTGCGTGGCCGGCTGCATGGCGCTGGCCATCACCGCCAAGACCGCCAGCGTCGGTTCGGTGCGAATAGGCGAGGGCGACTGGGTGACGATCGACGGCTCCACCGGCGAGGTGTTCCTGGGCGAAGCGCCGCTCACGGAACCCGAGATCTCCGGTCCGCTGGCGCAATTCCTCTCCTGGACCGACGAGGTGCGCACGCGCGTGCAGCTCCCCGGCCAGCCGCGCGGCTTCGGGGTCCGCACCAACGCCGATCTGCCGCGCGACGCGCATGCCGCCCGCGAGTTCGGCGCGGAAGGCATCGGCCTGTGCCGCACCGAGCACATGTTCTTCGACGAAGGCAAGCTGGCGATCTTCCAGGAGATGATCGTGGCGGAGAACGCCGAGGCGCGCCAGCAGGCGCTCGACCGGCTCCTGCCGCTGCAGCGCGCGGACTTCCGCGGCATCTTCCGGGCCATGTCGGGCTTTCCGGTGACGGTGCGGCTGCTCGATCCGCCGCTGCACGAGTTCGTGCCCCGCACAGCGCAGGACATGAAGCAGCTCTCGGAGAAGACCGGCGTGCCGCTCGCGCGCCTGCAGGCGCGCATCCACAGCCTGCACGAGCAGAACCCCATGCTCGGCCATCGCGGCTGCCGGCTCGGCATCACCTATCCGGAGATCTACGCCATGCAGGTGCAGGCCATCATGGAGGCGGCCTGCGCGGAGGCCGCCGACGGCGTCGAGGTGCTCCCCGAGATCATGATCCCCCTGGTCGGCACCGAGGAAGAGTTGCGCCGGCTGCGCGAGAACGCGGAGGCGGTGGCGCAGGCGGTGCTGTCACGCTCCGAGCAGCACGTTCCGTACCAGATCGGCACCATGATCGAGATTCCGCGCGCGGCGCTGACCGCGGATCGGATCGCCCGGCACGCCGATTTCTTCTCGTTCGGGACCAACGACCTCACGCAGCTCACGTTCGGCTACAGCCGGATGACGCGGGAGTGTTCCTGCCGGAGTACGTCGCCCAGGGGATTCTGGAGCACGATCCGTTCCAGGTGATGGATCCCGACGGCGTCGGCGCGCTGGTCCGGATCGGCGTCGAGCGCGGCCGCGGCGCCAAGCCGGAGCTCAAGGTGGGCATCTGCGGCGAGCACGGCGGCGACCCGGCCTCGATCGACTTCTGCCTGCGGCACGGCATGAACTACGTGTCGTGCTCGCCGTTCCGGGTGCCGATCGCCCGGCTGGCCGCGGCGCAGTCCGCACTGCGCGCCGGGGTCCTTACCTGAACGTGGTCTCCTTCAACTCGCGCTGCGTCTCGTAGATCGAGCCGGAGCGGATCGGCGGCGGCTGCGGCAGCCGCACCGGCGCGGAGGACATGCGCACCTCGTTGGAAGCCTCGCCCCGCACGAAGGTGGCGCGGTACTGGTCCCAGGTCATCTGGCCGCCCGCGATCCAGATCGGGTAGGCGTCGCCGGCGCAGTACATCAGCAGCAGCAGGCGACGGGGAGCCTCGGAGGTGTTCGGCATCGACCCGTGCAGCGTGCGCACGTGGTGGATGGAAATGCCACCGGCGCGTACCTCGATCGGTTCCGCTTCGGCCGGGTCGAAGGCATGCTCGGTAACCGCGCCCGACGAAGGCGCCGTCCTGGTTGTGGTCCAGGATCGGGCCGCGATGCGATCCCGGGATCGCCAGCAGGCAGCCGTTCTCGCGCGTCATATCGTCGATGGCCACGCCCACCGCCAGCACGTCGTCGTTGGTATGGGGATAGAAGGCCCAGTCCTGATGCCAGTGCACGGGGCTGCCGAACTCGCCCGACTTCATGTTGAGCTTGCTGCCGTGCGTGCGCACCGCCCAGCTCCCGAACACTTGGCTGGCCATCTCGACGATGCCTTCGTCGCGCATCACCCGGTCGTACGCGTCATGCACCAGGTGCGGTTCCTTGATGCGCCGCAGCTTGGGCTCTTCCGGCGTATGGTCCGGCTCCAGGTCGAAGACGTCGGTATGCTCGGTCGCCTCGCGCGAGCGCTCGATGAAGTCGTCGGTGACGGCCTGCAACTCGGCCACCTGCTCGTCCGTCAGGACCCCCTCCACCCCGATGAAGCCGCGCTCGTGATACTCGTCGATCTGCGCCTGCGTCAGCTCCCGTGTCAGCCCTTGTGTCAGCCCCTGTGTCAGCATGGTCAACTCCTCCCCGCCCGACCGATAATACCCTTCCGGCGGCGAGTCGGCGAGTAGTGGACGCCTTCCAACCGGCCGGCGGGGCTGCTCGCGTGGCTGAGCGTTTGCGTGCGCGGGGTTGGCCGCCTACATTGTCGCGGTGGCCGCTCCTGTCCCTGCGCTCCGTCCCGCCGTAGCGGGCGCGCCGTCATGCCCGAACGCGCCGCCGGCGCCGACCGCCGCCGAGTTCCCCGGGTGTACGCCCGTTGCGCTGCCGCGCGAGGAACTGGACGACTGCGAGTTGCGCTTCGAGTACTGGGACGCCGTCAGCGAGACCGCTTGGGTGTGTGAGCCGGTCAGTCCGTATCACGAGTCGCCGGCGCGGTGTCTGACCGGCCTGGTGACCCTGATTGCCCGGATGCGCGGTTCTCCGATCAGGTGCTTCGGTTGCATGGACCTGCTGCAGCGCGACCGGCACGGTGAGCCGTGGATCATCATGCAGGCGGACGAGTCGGTGTACCTGCATCCGGGACGCGCCCGGCTGCCGGGGCCGAAGGCGATGATGCTGGGAGAGGACGACCTGCCCGACGTGGTGCTGGAGGTGGATCACACCACCGACGTACGGCGGCGCAAGCTGCCGCAGTACGAGTGGTGGGGATTCCCGGAGGTGTGGGTGGAGGTGCCGGACGCGCCGTCGGCGAGCCGTCCAAAGGGGCGACAGTCAGGCTTGACGATTCACCTGTTGGAGGACGGTGCGTTTCGGCAGTCTCCGGCAAGCCGAGCGTTTCCCGGCTGGACGGCGGAGGAAATCCACGCGGCGCTGAACGAGGCGGCGTTCTCCGCGGCAACGAGCGCGGCGCTGGAACGGGTGGGACGGGCGCTCGGCCAGCGGGAAGGCACCGGCCCGGACGACGATCCGTTGCTGCGTTCGCAACGGGCGGAAGCGCGGACGGAAGCGCGGGCGGAACTGGCGCGAGAGCTGCTGGTGGCGCGCGGCATCGCGGTCGGGGTGGACTTTCCCGGCGTACCGGGATTCGCCGATCTGCCCGTGCACGCCATCGCCGCCGCGGCGGCTGCCTGCACCAGCCAGGCGGACTTCCGGGAGCGCCTGCGCCGCTGATGAGACGACCGGCCGAACAGGCCGGCGGCGGTCCGCGCGTTGCGCCGGCACGGGGGACGTGACGGTGACGAGCGAATGGCGTCCCGACGGCGCGGAGGGGCACACGCGTGCGGGCCGGGAACGGGGGCCCTACGACACGCGCTCGGCGCGGCACTGGATCCTGTCGCACCTGCGCCGGTATCCGCTGCTGACCACGGGCGCCGTGGTGCTGCACAGCGGCGCTTGGTGGGCGTACGGACTGGCGCCGATCCTGGTCGGGCGGGTCGCCGCGCAGATCATCGAGCCGTCGTCGGCGGCAGCGCCGGCGGCGGGCCTGCTGGCGGGGCGGCGTGTCTGTGGCTGCTGGTGGTGCTGATTGGCGACGCCTGCCTGTCCATGGCGGCCAACGCCTGCACGCTGACCCTCGCCCACCGCATCGAGCGGGATGCGCGCGACGAGCTCTATCGCAACCTGCTCGGCAAGAGCCAGACCTACCACGACCGGCAGCGGATCGGCGATCTGGTCGCCCGCGCCACCGACGACTCGCGGATGCTGTCGATGATGGTCCATCCGGGCATCCTCTTCGTGAGCGACATGGTGATGGGCTTCATCACGCCGATTGTCTACATCCTGCTGCTGGACGCCGAGCTGCTCGTGGTGCCGGTGCTGTACGCGATCTCCTTCGCGATCACCCTGCGGGCGTTCGTCCGCCGGCTGGGGCCGGTGCTGTTCGAGCAGCGCCGGGCGCAGGGGGAGCTGACCGCGACGCTGGAGGAGGCGCTCAGCGGCATCGAGGTGGTCAAGGTGTCGGTGCGGGAGGCGTTCGAATGCGGCCGCTTCGCGCGCACGGTGAGCGGCTTCAAGGAGCTGTTCGTACGGTCCAACCGGATCGAGGGCTTCTACATCCCGATGCTGATCTACGGCGCGCTGGCCGGGATGGCGCTGCTGCACGGCGTGCTGGCGCTGCAGCGCGGCGTGATCGCGCTGGACGGCCTGATCGCCTTCGTCGGGCTGATGCACGCGCTGCGCATCCCCACGTTCATCTCCGCGTTCTCCTTCTCCCTGCTGCAGGGCGGCATCGCCGGCGCCCGGCGCATCCTGGCCGTGCTGAAGGGGGCCGCCGGCATCGACGAGAACCGCGGCGGCGTCAGCGCCCCGATCGCGGGCTCGATCTCCTTCCACGGAGTCGACTTCGGCTACGAGGGAGCCGGCCCGGCGCTCACCGGCCTTGAAGTCGGCATCGCCGCCGGGGAGACGGTGGCCATCGTCGGGCAGACCGGCTCCGGCAAGAGCTCGCTGACGCGGCTGGTCAACCGCACGTACGACCCCACGCACGGCAGCGTGCGCGTCGACGGGGTCGATCTGCGCGCCTGGAACCTCACCAGCCTGCGGTCGCAGATCGCCAGCGTGGAGCAGACGTGTTCCTGTTCTCGCGCTCGATCGCGGACAACATCGCCTTCGCGCGCCCCGGGGCATCGCGCGCGGAGATCGAGGCGGCCGCCCGCGCCGCGGCGGCCGACGAGTTCATCGCCTCGTTCGTCGACGGCTACGACACCGTGATCGGCGAGCGGGGCGTCACCCTGTCCGGTGGGCAGCGGCAACGCCTCGCGCTGGCCCGCGCGTTTCTGAAGGACCCGCGCATCCTGATCCTGGACGACTCCACCAGCGCCATCGACAGCGCCACCGAGGACGACATTCAGCGCGCCCTGGCCGCCATCCAGCGCGGGCGCACCACGCTGATCGTCACCCACCGGCTTCGCAGATCCGCTGGGCCGACCGCATCCTGGTGCTGGACGGCGGGCGGCTGGTCGCCAACGGCGGGCACGCGGAGCTGCTGGCCGGCTCCCCGCACTACCGGCGCATCTTCAGCCGCTACGACATCGACCTGCCGCCGTTGGTCCTGCAGCCGAACGGCGTTCCGGAGACCGCCTGATGGGCTTCCTGATGGACGGCATCGAGGCCGAGGCGTACGACCGCTCGTACAGCGACCGTGAGCTGGTGCGCCGCATCCTGGTCCGGTTCCGGCCGGAGCGCGATCGGATCATCGCGGTGTGCGGGTCGATCCTGGCCGCGGCGGTGAGCGGCACCCTCCTGCCGATCATGGTCTCCCGCGCCATCGACGGCGTGGGCGTGGAGCTGGCCGGCGGCGCTCCGGTCGCGGTGGGCTGGATGGTGGGCACGGCGGCGGCGATCATCGGCCTGAACACGCTGAGCTGGCTGTTCAACGCCCACCGCCGCGCGTCCGGATCCCGCGCCATCGGCGGCGTGGTCGAACGCCTGCGCAACGACGCGTTCGCGGCGTTGATGCGCCACGACCTGTCCTTCTACGACGCCAATCCCACCGGCAAGGTGGTCAGCCGCGTGGCGTCCGACTCGCAGGCCTTCTCGGAGGTGGTGTCGCTGACCATGGAGCTGGTCAGCCAGACGGTGCTGGTAGTGCTGGTGTTCGCCTATCTGTTCACGGTCGACGCGCTGATGACGGGCGTGACCCGTGCTGCTGGTGCCGCTGATCGTCGGCGCCGCGCTCGGCTTCCGGCATGTCGCGCGCCGCACGGTCACCCAGTCGCGGCGGGCGCTGGGCGACCTCACCGCCCACGTGCACGAGACCATGAGCGGCATCGCCGTCGCCAAGTCGTTCCGCAAGGAGCAGTTGATCTACGACCGCTTCACCGGCGTGAACGCCGCCTCGTACCGGTTGAACTGGCGCGCCGGCCTGGTCTTTTCCGCCATCTTCCCGCTGCTGTTCGCGCTCGCGGGCGTGACGACCAGCCTGTTGGCGTACCTGGGTGGGGTGCGGGTAGGGGAATCCGGGCTGTCGATCGGCGAGTGGTACCTGTTCCTGCAAGGGGTGGGCCTGCTGTGGTTTCCGCTCACCTCCATCGCGTCGTTCTGGAGCCAGTTCCAACTTGGCCTGGCAGCCGGCGAGCGCGTGTTCGCGCTGCTGGACGCCGAACCGTCGGTGCGTCAGACCGGTGAGCAGCCGGTGGCGTCGCTGCGCGGCCGGATCGAGCTCCGCGACGTCGACTTCGCGTACAAGGCGGGGGAGCCGGTGTTCGAGCGGTTCTCGCTCACCATCGACGCGGGTGAGACGGTGGCGCTGGTCGGCCACACCGGCTCCGGAAAATCGAGCATCACCAAGCTGATCGCCCGCTTCTACGAGTTCCAGGCAGGCTCCATCCTGGTCGACGGTCAGGACATCCGCGGTCTCGACCTGGCGAGCTTCCGGTCACACCTGGGCTTCGTCACGCAGGCGCCGTTCCTGTTCAACGGCACGGTGGCCGACAATATCCGCTACGGCGGCCGGAGGCAGGCTCCGACGAGGTCGAGCGCGCCGCGCGGCGGATCGGCGGCGGCGACTGGGTGAACGCGCTGCACGACGGGCTGGCGACCGCGGTGAGCGAGCGCGGACGCAGCCTGTCCATGGGGCAGCGCCAGCTCGTGGTGCTGGCGCGGGTGCTGCTCATGGATCCGGCGGTGATCATCCTGGACGAGGCCACCGCCAGCGTCGATCCGCTCACCGAGGCGCTGATCCAGGAGGGGCTGGACGAGGTCCTGCGCGACCGGACCGCGGTGGTGGTCGCGCACCGGCTGTCGACGGTCCGGCACGCCGACCGGATCGTGGTGCTCCGCGCCGGGCGGAGCATCGAGCAGGGCGACCACGAATCGCTGACCGCGGCCGGCGGACACTACGCGAGTTGTACGACACCTACTTCCGGCACCAGAGTCTGGAGTACATCGAGCGCCGGCCGGTGCCGGCGTGAAGGAGAACCTCATGGCACGCATCACCATCACCTACATCGGCCACGCATCGTTCCGCTTCGAGTCGGAGCGGGGGCACGGTGAGCTACTTCGACCCCTGGCTGGACGACAACCCCACCACCACGGTGAGCCGCGACCAGGTCGACGCCGCCGACATCGTGCTGGCGACGCACGGCCACGCCGACCACATCGGCGACAGCTACGAGCTCTGCAAGCGCACCGGCGCGGCGTTCATCAGTCACTACGAGCTGTGCGAGGTGGCCAAGGCCGTCGGCCTGAGCGAATCGACCCTGCTCCCGCTCAATCCGGGCGGCTCGGTGACGGTGGCCGACGTGGAGGTCACCATGACCCAGGCCCATCACTCCCACTCGCTGTCCGATCACGTCCTGCCGCACCCGCTGCCGGAGGGCGTGCTGTACCACACCGGCGGCGTCACGGCGGGGTTCGTGATGGCCTACGACAACGGCGTGACCCGTGTACGACGCGGGCGACACCTGCCTGTTCAGCGACATGCAGCTCATCAGCCAGATGTACCGGCCGCAGGTGGCGATCCTGCCGGTGGGCGGCAAGTTCACGATGGGCGTGCGCGAGGGGGCGCGCGCGGCCAGCCTGGTGCGCGCGGACCTGGTGATTCCCTGCCACTACAGCGAAGCCCTGGGGCAGCCGGCCGACATCGCCGAGTTGGCGCGCCAGGTCGAGTTCCTCAGCCCCGGCACCGCGGTGGTGCCGCTGGAGCCGGGCCAGTCGGTGGTCTACACCGCCAGCTCCTACGAGGTGAGCGCCTCCGCCTGAGCTACTTCTTCACGTACTGGTGCGTGCCCATGATGGCGCGCACCTCCTCGATGCCGCGGGCCCCGAGCAGGCGGCCGACCCGGTCCTCCTCGTGCTCCAGCAGTTTCTTGGCGTTGGTGACCACCTCCTCGAGCCGCTCGCCCGGGAACTTCACCGCGCCGTTCTCGTCCATGTGGACGATCTCGCCGGGCGCCACGTCCATGCCGGACAGGCGCACCGGCACCTGCACCCCCTGCAGCGCCTGCGGGCCGTGGCCGGCGCAGACCCCGCGGGTCAGGTACTGGAAGTTCATGGGCCGGATCTCGTGGATGTCGCGTGAGGGGCCGTTGCTCACCGCCCCGACCGCTCCGCAGGCGCGCAGCGCGGAGGTCATGTTGCCGCCGGCCAGCCCGACCTTGTCGGCCAGCTCCGGCGGGAAGCGCTGCTCGAAGCAGAAGATGGACGGCTTGCCGATCCGGTCCGCCGCTTCCAGGACGTCCATCAGGTCAGCGCCGAGTAGCCCGGGTCCGCGACGCTCGTACACGCAGGTCACCGCGTAGCCGGCCACCGGCCCCAGCTCCGGATACCAGCACGACAGCCGGTTGTCGGTGTACCAGCTCGCCTCCCAGGGGTGGTAGAGCTCCAGGCACAGTTCGTGACCGGGATAGGTGGCCACCACGTTGGTGACCGTGGGCGTGTCGATCTTCTTGAGCTCCTCCAGGAGGGCTACGTCTGACATGGGGGTCTCCTCGTTCAGTGTGGTCCCGCTCGGGATCTCTCACGGTCGGCCTTGAGGCGTGGGACCGGACCGCCGCAGTCTATCCGATCGTCGGCATAGCGTTCAGCTCGGGGAGCGCAGCGTGCATGGATTGGAGGCGCCATCAAGCAGTCGGCCCGTTCTCCGGACGGGTATCCGAAGCAGCCGCCGTGGGTGGCTTGAGCGGGCTGCGCGTGACCAGCGGCTGGTGTTGGGCAATCAGTTCGTAGTGAGCATCGAAGTGCAGCAGGTCCGCACCGGCGAGCCGAGCCGATGCGGCGATGATCAAGTCAGTCGCCGGCACGGTGATCCCCCGCGTTCGCAGCGTGCGCCCCATTGCGACGGCAAGCTCGAAGACCGGGGTCGCGAGCTCGATCCAGTGGCATCCGGACAGATCTGACCGCACGTTCGCAGAGTCGGCGTCGCGCGCAGCGTACGCCACGACCTCTACCAGTATGACGCCGTTGGTAGCCGCCCGGTTGTCACGAATCGCCGAGAAGACCGCGTCTCTGACCTCCCGCGATCCGCCCCGGCGGTAGTACTCGATCCACGCGGAGCTATCGACTAGGATCACGGCTGGCGGCGCAACTCCGCGAGTCCCTCCTGGTCCAGCTCCAGGTCCAGCCGGCCCGCACGGCTCAACGCTGCGGCACGCCGCGAGGCCTTGACCGCCTCCCGCAGGGCCAACTCGATCGTCTCTCGCTTCGTGGACGTGCAGAGCGCTTGGCGTGCTTCTTCGATGAGTTGTTGGTCAATCGTAACCGTTATGCGATCCATCAGGCTCCCTCATGAGGCATCAACGTGATACACCAGCAGAATACACCAATGACCCGCGACAAACGACAGCCCGGAGCGGCGCGTTTGATGAGCCGTGGCCACCACGCCACGGGCGGTGTGGCGATGCCGTCCTCGTGCACCCAGTGCTTGAATAGCCGAAACGGGTTCTCCGGCATGACGGCAAGCTTTTCGTCCGTTTCGACCGGACGCTCAACGCTTTGGGTAGGCTATCAGTCTGCCGACACGTCCGCGACGATGCCGAAGTCCGCCAGATCTTCGCTCAATGCGATGTGATCGATGCATCGCCTGCCGCGGAGTCCGACGCCTGCCGTGGCGATGGTCAGCCGTGAGGCGACAACCGACATGAGCTGTTCGTGGACATCCGCCGGGGTGGAACGACTCTTGGGAAGCTGTTGGTTGAAGTCTCCTGCCACGATCATGCGTCTCCCGGACGCTCGATCCAGTACCTCGGGGAGGCTCCTCAGGTACTGCCGGTGGTCGTCCCACCGCTTGCGGCCCTCCCACTTCTTGTGCGTGATGGAAGCGGTGTTCACGCGGGCGTTCGGCCAGGGAATACAGACGCCGATCACGCTCACAGTGCCGATGGAGGTGTCCGTAACGCCGGACACGAACCGGCCGGGAGGCAAGGAACGTTTCCCTACGTCATCGCTCTGCTCGCAAGGCGTCCTGCTCCACAGCAGCACCTTTCTGCGACCTTCCTTGATCGGGGAGCCGTAGTCCGGATTCGAAGCGATCACGTAGCCATCCGGCAACAGGTCGATGTGCGGCTCGGTGAGACAGACGACTTCGGGCTCGTGCGCCGCGATGCGCCTCAGGATCTCGGCACGTCGTGAGGACCTTGGTGTCGTCCACTCGACGTTCCAGTTCACCAGCTTCATGACGCCCCTCCCAGGGCATGGTTTCCTCTTTGCCCAGACGACGCTAACGCGTCGATGGGAACAGCTCCAACTGGCGCTGGTTGCGGCGAATCTCGTCGAAGTCCCGCTGCAGGATGCGCAGCACCGGCTCGGCGACGGGACGGATCTGCCGCTCGATGTAGTGGTCGTAGTCCAGCAGGTTCTCCTGCCGCTCGACGGGCTCTGGTCCTTCGATCGTGATGACGTACTCGATCACGCCGCGGAGCTCGCCGGCCGCGGGTGCGCCCCGCTTGCGCGCGGCGACCACGTGCGGCGGGAGCGCCCGGTACTCCTCCACCTCCTTGCGGAGGGCCTTGCGGTAGACGAGCTGCCGGTCGCGCTGGCCGGCCGACACCTCGTCGATCATCTTCCGCAGGTAGTCCTCGACCGGATCGCCGGCGAACAGGCGGCTGTAGAGCTCGCGCTGGACCTCGTGCGCGAGCGCCGTCCAGTCGCTACGCACCACCTCCATGCCGGTGAAGTGCAGCCGGCCGCCGGACAGGCCCACGTAGCGCTTGGTGGCGCCGCGCTCGCCCGAGCGCAACGGAGGCAGGAACAGCCGGTCGAACAGCGTCTCGAACTCCATCTGCAGCGCGCTCTCCACGCGCCACGTCTCCGCGATGTAGCAAGTCAGGTCCTCGGTCAGCTCCTCCGCCAGCCGTTCTCCCTGCGCTGCGGCATCCGCTTCGTCCGCCGCGACGAACAGGCTGTCGGTGTCGCCAGTACAGCACGCGGAGCCCGCGCTGCTCCTCCATCCACTCCTTGGCCCAGAGCAGGAAGTGCTTGCCGAAGCCGGTGATCGCGTTCGCCAGCCGGTGGTCGTGAAACCGACAGGACGGCGTGCCCAGCACGCCCTAGAAGGAGTTCATCAGGAGCTTGATGGCGTTGCCGGCCACCGCGTCACCGTCCTCCTTGGCCTGCGCGCGGCTCGCGAACAGACCGTCCAGCAGCTCGCTCAGGATGCCGCGTTGCCGGCGAAAGCGGGCGCCGTTCGGGGCGCGGATGACGTCGGCCTCCTCGCCGTCGGGAGCCGGTTTCCGGATCAGTCCCAGCGGATCGATCTGGAAGGTGCGGATGATGCTCGGGTACAGGCTCCGGAAGTCGAACACCATCACGTCCCGGTGCAGCCCCGGTTGCGAGGCCAGGACGTGCCCACCCTGCTGGCTTTGCCGCCCCTCCGCGGCATCTTCGTCATGGGTAACCCCGACGGTGGGGGCCACCACGCCCCGCTCCCGCAGACGCGACAGGTACAGGAAGTCGAAGGCGGCGATGGAGGCGCCGGCGCGGTCGGGCGGCATGCCGGTGAGCAGGCTGCGCTGCACGGTGAACGGCACCAGCTTCAGCTTGTCCAGGATGTCGAAGGCGAGGCGCGCGTCGGTGAGGTTGTACTGCACGAACCGCTCCGGATCCCGCGCATAGGCCCGCTGGATCTCGGCGGCGTGATCGACGGCGGTGAACGTCTTGCCCTCGCCCAGGATGTGGCGGGAGGCCGTCTCCAGGCTGTAGTCCGGCAGCCGCAGCCCCACGGCGCGCAGCAGGCGGATGCCGTCCAGCACGGTCCGCCCCGGGATGAAGATCGAGTCGCTGAACCGGCGGGCACCGCCGTCGCGCTGGCGGAGCTCCCCGGGCGCGCGGCCCAGGTCCAACGCCACGTCGGCGGCGGCCGCCCGCCGAATCAGGACCGGGACGTCGAAGTCGATGATGCTCCAACCCGTCAGCACGTCGGGATCGAGCTGGCGGATCCGCCGGCAGAGGAGGGTCAGCAGCTCCGACTCGTCCGCGCACGGGGTCGCGCCGCTCGGGCAGGCGGCGCGCGCGTCCTCGTCCGGACACCACAGCAGCACCTCCTGAGCCCCGCAGCCCCACAACGACACGGAGTAGATCTGCTGGGCATTGGGATCGGTCTCCAGGTCCAGCGACAGCGTGGTCAGCTCCGGCGTCCAGTCCGCGGGTTCCAACGACGGCTCGTCGAACACCACGGTGCGGGACCACTCGCCCGCGGAGGCCGTCGGGTTCCCGTGGATGCGGACGGCGCTGCGGATGCCTCGATCGATGAGGTAGCGGTAGGCGAAGCGCACGTCCGCCTCATAGGTGGGGGCGCCCGCACGGTGCAGCCGTTCGCGCAGCCGCGGCGCCTCCTGCGGGTGAGTCAGCTCGACGCGATGCACGCGCGCGCCGTGCAGGGTGCGGAGCTCGGTCGGCACGGACCGCGCGCCCGCGGCCTGCGCCTGCAACCGGTCGGAGCCTTCGATGTAGAAGTAGGGCGGGTCGCGCCCGTCGCGGACCAGGAACGGCCGGCCATCCTGCAGCCTGCCGTACAGATGGACGATCGCGCGGCCGTTCGGGCCGGACGTGACGTAGGTCGCGTTGAGGATGTAGCCGACGAACCCGCTCACCGAGTCCTCGTCCGCTCCGCCGCCGTCTTCGTCACGATGTGATCCAGGCGCCGGGAAATCATACCGTCCGGAGGCTGACGCTGCCGCGATCGGACCTACCGCTCACACGGCAAATTCGACAGACTCCCAAGCTCCGGGGGCCGCCCCGTCCCCGTGGAGCTCGCCATGCGCATCACCGACGTTCGCACGTTCCTGGTTTCCGGCGGCACGCCGGAGCGCGCGGGTTGGCGCCATTGGCTGTTCGTGAAGGTCCATACGGACACGGGACTCTACGGCGTCGGCGAGTGCTGGGGATGGCCGCGGGTCGTGCAGACGGCGATCGAGGATCTGACGCCGCTGGTCGTCGGCGAGGACCCGTTCCTGATCGAGCGGATCTGGCAGAAGCTGTACGCCTCCACGCAGGGCCACGGCATGACCGGCGTGGTCGGCAGCGGCGCCATCACCGGCATCGAGCTGGCGCTCTGGGACCTGAAGGGCAAGGCGCTGGACACGCCGGTCTGGAACCTGCTTGGCGGCAAGATGCGCGACCGTATCCGGCTCTACGGCCACGCCTTCGACGAGGAGCGGGCCCGCGAGCTGGTCGACCGGGGCTTCACGGCGATGAAGCTCTTCGGCTGGCGGGATGCGGTGAGCCGCGTGCAGAGGCTGCGCAGCGAGTACGGGCCGGAGATCGACCTGATGGTCGATGCCGGCGGCGGACCCTGGCAGACGCCGGCGGACGCGATCTCGCTGGGCCGGCGCCTGGAGCGCTACGGCCTGCTGTTCTACGAGGATCCCGTGTCGGCCGTGGACATCGAAGGCCTGGCGCGGGGTGGCAGCAGGGCGGTCGACCTGCCAATCGCGATCGGCGAGGCCTATCCCAACCTGTTCGCGCTCTGCCCGCTGATCGAGCGCGGCATCATCGACGTCGCGCAGCCGGACACCGGCCGCTTCGGCGGGCTGTGGCAGATGAAGAAGCTGGCCGCCATCGCCGAGGCGCACCAGGTGATGGTGGCCCCGCACCAGGGCTCGCTCGGCCCGGTGGCGGAGATGGCCGCGATCCACCTGCTGGCGACCCTGCCGAACTACCTCATTCACGAGTACTTGGTGAACGACGTCCCGCAGCGCTACGAGGTGATGACCGGGCAGCCGGTGATCGAGGACGGCACATCCTGGTGCCGGACCGCCCCGGACTCGGCGTCGATCTGGACGAGGAGGCGATCGGGCGGTACCCGCCGCACGGCAACGCCATCCCGGTCGAGGAGGACCCCGACTACGACTACCAGTACGTCGCCGCCCACCGGCGCCGCGCTGCGTGGCTGGCCGGCTAAGGACGATCCGCTACTCTTGGATCCCGCAACCAGCGATACGAATAACCTCGACATCGGGCAGGCGTTCGACATCTGCGATAGCCGACAGGATAGCGGTCTCCGGGTTAGGCCCATCCCGGTCGAAATCAAGGTACTGGATCCCGTCGGTACGGCCGACTATCGCATCATCGCAGCCCGCATCGAAAAGGGCGGCGACAACCGTGTCGCTCTGCAGATCTAGTCCCTCGACAATCAAGATAAACTGATGCGAAGATATGTTCATAGCTCGTTATTGTAAACCGTGTTTGGATAGAGGACTATTCGCCCAAAGCAGCTATGCCACTCAGGGTAACCGGCGGACGGTCGGGAAACTCCGCGACCAAGTTCAGCTTTCCGCCCATCGCCTCCACATACCCGCTGAGTGTAGAAATCAGCAGATCGCTACGCTGTTCGATGCGTGACACGTTTTCCTGTTTGATGCCGAGCTTCTCTGCCACTCTGGCTTGAGTCTGATTTCGCGCCTTGCGCAAATCGCGAAGTGTCATCTCTTCCGCAATCAGCGCGTCGGCCAGCTTCTCGACTTCCTTACGGCGATCTTCGGGAAGAGATGCTATTTCTTCTCGAAGTGTAACTATTTTCATGTGATTCATCTCCATATGATGCCGATTATATGCCCCCGAATGCAGTCGCTACACTTCCTTGCCTCCCATGTTCTCTATATATACGTCGAAACGCTGATCCGCTTGTGCTATCAGACTCCGGTAGAAACGCTTTCCTTCGACTTTCGACTTATCCCCGATCGCTAGCAGGATAGCTCTGCGATTGGGGTCAAAGGCAAATGCGACGCGCCACGTGCCGCCACCCGCGCTAAAGCGAAGCTCTTTCATATTGCGATGACGTGATCCGTTCAGCGAGTCCGCCCATGGACGACCGAGCGTGGGTCCGAACCTCTCGATGAGCTCGGCATAGGCCAGGAGCTTGTCGTGAACTGACACTGGCAAGGCCTTGAACTCCGCGCGAAAGGTCGGGTGGAGTCCGACAGACCACATGTTGCCCATCAATATGACGCTTGTCGCATATGCCGTCAAGAGCATAGAACGCTGCTGCTCTTGGAGGGGGGCGGGCCTCCATCGGCTGACCGGCACCACGCCGTGTGGAGCCGGAGAGGCCCGGCAGGTCGAACTGGCGCTCAGGGACCCGTAGGGCAAGGCGCTGGACCACGGCGGTCTGGAATCTTCTCGGCGGCAGATGCGCGCCCCCATCCGCCTCTACGGCCACGCTTGCGACGAGGAGCGCGCGCGAACTGGTAGCCCGGGCCTTCACGGCGATGAAGCTCGTCGGCTGGCGGGACCGGTGAGCCACGTCGGCCGGCTGTGCAGCGAGTACGGTCCGGAGATCGACGTGATGGTCGACGCCGTCGGCGGGCCCTGGCAGACGCCCGCCGACGCGATCACGCTGGGCCGGCACCTGGAGCGCTACGGCCCTGCTATTCTACGAGGATCCGGTGTCGGTCGTGAACATCGACGGTCTGACGCGCGACGTGATGACCGGGTAGCCGGTGATCGAGAACGGCCACGTCCTCGTTCCCGACCACCCCGGACTCGGCGTCGACCTGGACGAGGAGGAGATCGAGCGGCACACTCCGCAAGGCAACGCCATACCGTCGAAACGAGGACCGCGACTACGACACCAGCTGCGTCGCCGCATACCGGACACCGCGCCGAATTGGCTGGCCGGCTGAGTACGATCCGATGCGGCGTAAGATGGAGTCAGTTGCACGATAGAACGACAGCGTGCCTGAGGACAGTGATGGGAGAGCGCATATACACGAGAAGCGCAGAGGGAGGGCTTGAACCGCTGGAAGCCGAACCGTTCTCGACGGAGGACGAGCTCCAGGAACTGATCGCGAACCATCCCGAGCTGTTGGATGGCGAACAGGTGCGACCGGATGCCCCTCGGCGTTGGATCTTGGTTACCCGGGAAAAAGGTATCGCCGAAGCCCCAGGGGCCGGTGCCCGCTGGGCGCTCGACCATCTGATCGTCGATCAGGATGCGCGGCCCACGCTGGTGGAAGTGAAGCGGGGCAGCAACTCCGAGATTCGACGCACTGTTGTGGGGCAGCTTCTGGAGTACGCAGCGAACGCGGCAGCGACGTGGTCGGCAGAAGACCTGCGCACGAGTTTCGAGGCGACAGCAACCAAACGGGGACTCGAGCCGGCTCAGGAGCTTGAGAGACTCCTCGAGACGGATAGGGAGCGGGATGCAGACTCCTTCTGGGACGATGTTGCGACAAACCTCGTCGCCCATCGGCTTAGGCTTCTGTTCGTCGCGGACGACATTCCCGACGAGCTTGAACGTATCGTACGCTTTCTCAACGCCTCGATGCCGGACATCGAGGTCCTCGCTGTGGAGGTCAAGCAGTTCCGTGGCGATTCCAGTCAGACGCTCGTGCCGAGGGTGATTGGGAGATCGGCGGCTGCTGTTCCGCGAGGCAGCAGGCCCCGTCGTGTGCTCACACAGGTGCTGTTTCTAGAGGAGTTTCCATACGGCGATCAACGCGACGCCGCCCGACATCTCCTTGATGTCGCCGAAAAACACGGTGGCAAGCCAGCTTGGGGTGCTACCGGAGTGAGCATTCGTGTGCGCTGCCCCGTCTGGAACCAACCCGTGACCGTGGCATGGCTCTATCCGCCGTCGACAAGGGGATGGATGCGTACTCGAGACTGTACCTTCGGCGCAAGTATTAGCTTCGAATATCCGCTAGAGTTGTACGAGGTGCTCAAACGATGGATCGATCAGTTCGCGGGAGACGACTTCTTGGAAGACGCTTCGAGTGAGGGCGTCGAGGCTAAGTGGGCACCGTACGACGCGGTCGCTGAGCACATCGTCTTGGTGGAGAAGCGCCTTGGTAACGTCCTGGAGGAACTCGCCTCTTTGAAGGAGGGTGCCCGACGTGTCGACGCTCCCGATAGCGTAGAATCGAGTTCGTCATGAGAATCGTACGTTACGAGCAGAACGGGGCGGTCGGGTATGGCCGGCAGCGGGACGACGGGTCGGTCGTGGCCATCGACAACGGGCCGGCGGCGGCCGCGGGGCGGGCGTGGGAGGTCGCGCTGGACGCTGCGGACGGGTGGTGGGTCGAAGGGGCGAGCCTGCTGGCGCCGGTGGTGCCGACCGGGGTGCTGTGCATCGGGCTGAACTACCGCAAGCACGCCGAGGAGTCCGGCGCAGGCTCCCGAGACAGCCCATCCTCTTCATGAAGCTGCCGTCGGCGGTGCAGGACCCCGGGGGGGACATCGTGCTGCCGCGCCGGCTGCGCAGCGACCAGGTGGACTACGAGGCGGAGCTGGCCGTGGTGATCGGCCGGCGCTGCCACAACGTCACGCGCGAAGAGGCGCTGGACTACGTGCTGGGGTACACCTGCGGCAACGACGTCAGCGCCCGTGACTGGCAGTTGCAGTGGGGCGGGGGCCAGTGGTGCCGGGGCAAGACCTTCGCCACCTTCTGTCCGCTGGGGCGGCGTGTTTCGCCACTGAGGACATTCCGATTCCCAACGCGCTCGCCATCAAGACGGTCATCAACGGCGAGACGATGCAGGACTGGACGACGCGTGACATGATCTTCGACGTGCCGGAGCTGATCGCCTTAATGAGAGGAAGCACACGCTGGAGCACGGCGACGGTGATCATGAAAATGGACAAAAGATATTAGGCAGGGGGGAGAAGAGTAGAAAACGGAAGCAAAAGGGGAAAGGAAGATAAGGATGAAAGAGGGAACGCATAGCTTGCTTTCACCTATGGAGAGAGGCGATCGGGAGCGAATATAAAAAAACCACACGTGTAGAGGAGGGTAGTGAGCGTGGCCGGGGTGAGCGCCGAGCAGGTCGAGCGGTTCCGACGCGACGGGTAATGGTCGTCGCGGGCTGTTGACACGCAAAGCCTGGAGGCAGGTGGAGGGCGCCGCATCCGCCGAGCTCGCTCGCGCGGACAGGGGACGCGCCAGGAGCTGGCAAGCAAACGGAAGGTGGAGCGCGAGTGGAGGCGTGGGCCGACCTGCGTCAGCCACGCTATGCCGCGTCGCTGCGCAAGATGTCGCACATGGCGTTCGAGGACCCCGTCGTCCTGGACGTATGGCGGGATCCACGGATGTCGACATCATCGAGTCGGTTGCGCGGCCACGACCTAGTGATGCGGGTCTCAAGGAACGTTGTTAAGAAGAAGCTTAACGATGGGACGGGGTTAAATCGGAAGGCAGTTAACCAATACAAGGAAAAGTAAGTAT